CGGATGTCCTTATTGCCTCTCCTCTGGGCATAATCACTGTTAGTCTCTTGAATGTTGATTTCTCGAATGTTATTCAATATATATTTTTTTGGATGATTTAGAATTTGCAGACACTTAGCTTTTTTGTAAATTGCAAATTAATTCATTTATATTGTGCAGTTAAGATGCGCCATTTAGTTTATGTGCTTGTTAGACATCTCTCACAAGTCTTGCATCTTTCACTTTTTTTTTTTTTTCATTAGTAAATACCGCTTCTTAATTATTTATATGCTCATTTTCTAAGATGATGGGACCATTTTGCTTTCTTCCGTGATCCTAGCAGCATTGACATAAATCATATTGAACTAAAGTTTTCTTCTGCAGAAAATTGGGGAGGCAGAAGTTGACAAAGAAAAAGATTTTGATTATCTATCTTCAATAGAAGTAAGCACATGAATATTAATAGTCCTCGATATTAGTTTGGTCCATAAAAATGTCCATGATCAGCCTGTACTAAATGATGAACAATCTTATGTGACAGATCTTAATCATTGATCATGCAGATGTCATGCTAATGCAGGTTTGTAAAATAATTGCGCATCCACTGTCTGTATGGTCGTATATTGTTATCTTACAGTGGATTTTTTTTTTCTCTCTGACTTTTTTTTTTTTTTAAAATAAATATCCCAGAATTGGTCCCATGTGAATACTGTTGTTGAACATATGAATAAACTGCCGTCTAAGCAACATGGAACCGATATTATGCGCATAAGGCCATGGTATGTTTTGAACTTTCATTTGTCGTATATCTGCCCTGCCTGCATTATTGGATATTGAATCATTGAATGGAATAATTTTATGTATGGGGCGTTTATTGGCCCTTTATTATTCATTGTTGTTATTAAATATCACGACTCGTGTGCTATAATGAACTGTTGCGTGCGTAGATCTATGCAAAAGCATTAACTACACTTTCGTCTTGACAGATTAAAGTAGTGATATAGTGAAGTGCATTTTAAGCTGTGTATTTCTCTTCCATCCTCTCATTTATCTTTTTGCTTCAAATGTTTCTTTATTATCAGGTACCTGGATGGACAAGCACGTTTCTATCGGCAAACAATAATTTTGAGTTCTCATGTAAATCCAGGTAATGAATATGAAATATTTCTTTTGTTATTTTCTGGTAGTGATAGTATCATAGATGGATTTATGCACCTGATTGCGTTACATTGCCTGAAATAGGTAGACCTGTGATTTTTTATCCAGTCAATTGATTTATTGACAGCCCGGCATTCATTTATGTGTGTTTTATGTTCTTTTTCTTGTCTTATATTCTCACTTTCTTCTTTCCCTTTGTTTAACATTGGAGCATATTTTTTTTTTTTTTTTTTTTTTTTTTTTTTTTTTTTTTTTTTTTTTTTTTTTTTTTTTATCATTAATGCTACATTGAAATATTGCTCTTTTTGTCTGAAATATTTATATAATTGATGTCTGATCTGCATCTTTGTTTCTATTTTTAATTTTTGCTTTTGCAGAACTCAATGCCCTTCTTAATCAACATTGCCTTAATTACCAGGGAAAGGTTCGTAAATGTTCTGGATGTATTTTGAAATTGTGTTACATGCTCCAAACTATGTCTGACATGGTTTAAGTACTTCTTCTTCCTTGCATTGAGGCGAAATTTGTTTACGTTATCCAATATTCAGCTGGGCAAGGCCGACCTCCTCAATGGTTTCTGCATCCGAAAGATATACTCTTTCTTTAACTGCCGGGAAAGCCAATAATTTAAGGGGTGATTGTTTATGAATCCAACTCAAAAAAACCAATCAAAACTCAAATTTAATTCAATTTTTACCCAACCCCACTATCTTCAGTATTATCAATGTAATTAAATAATATCAACCAATCATTCTTACACATCACATCAACTTTAATTCACTATTCACCCATCACATAATTTTAACTAACCATCACTTCCAATCATTTTTCTCATACTTCACATCAAATCAACTTTAATTATTTTATTTAAATATTTTTTTAATATATTCACTAACAACTAACTATACCACCTTTTTTCAAAATTTACTATATTAAAAAAAAAACAAATAAAAACTAGTTGAATCCATAAATAATCACCCCCTTAATTGCCTTCATTTTGAAATATATAATATTTATGGTTTTCATTTCCTTAAATATGGAACTTTCCCAAAGACAATAGCCATGTTTTGGGGTAGCATGTTTTTTTTTTTTTTTGAAGTACTCTATCCACTGATGAAGTAGAATCATTCTGAACACTATGATAGCAGAATAATTGATTTGCTGAAATCTTGGACAATGAAAATGTGGATTGTATTCTATTATTAGAATTAAATCTAGTAACCTTAGATATATGGTAGCTTAATAAACCAAATTGCCAATTGTAATAAGCTCTATTAGGCTATTAGTTTCAGTTGAGTATTTTGGTTTATTCGCATTCGAGCGACTCCATTTCAGAATTGTGAGCTAAAGAAAATTATTATAAAAAAAAGTTGGGGATTTTCAGTCACTTCATATATTGACTTCTGAATGTTCTTTTATAATGTTAGGTTAGATGAATCCAGTAAATACTGTTTGTTAATTAATGTAACTCCCCTAATATCTTCTGGCTTGCGGTTATTAACTGTTCTTGCATCTGTTTATTTTGAATATAGAAATCGTCACTTCCTGGCTTTGCAGGTCAAATTGGAGTGCAAGTATAAAGGTGTTCTTCCAAAAATATTAATTCCAGTGCGACAGGTGAATGTAATTGTCAATTTTAAGATGATCAGTGCTATGTTTGGATTACATTGCTACTAGTGTAGGTTTATGTGACTTAATACGTTATTTTCTAATTCATATGCATCAATTTGTTGCTCTTCAATCAAAAGTTTCATGGTCTTGCCTATGGTTTGCATTTGATCTTGAAAGAGTTGCTCTTCAATCAAAAGTTTCATGGTCTTGCCTATGGTTTGCATTTGATCTTGAAAGAGACTGCGACACCTTTTTTCCTTCTAAACTGACACTATATTTTTCATATCTACATACATTCATTGAGTATCTTTGTCTTGACATTTGATCAGAAAGAGACTGCGACACCTTTTTTCCTTCTAAACTGACACTATGTTTTTCATATCTACATACATTCATTGAGTATCTTTGTCTTGATACTATATATGAAATTGTATGTTGTTGCATGCATATTTGCAATCTGGTGTGTTCTTAATCTCTTTTTCTCTTATTAAAGACTGTTATATTTTCTCGTACTTGCTTTCAATATTTATTTGTAACTCACATTATTGATTTTGCAGATTTATGAGCGTTTTGATACTGAATCTATTGCCGAAGCTGATGATGCTCGACTTAAATATTTTTGTGAAAAGGTTTGTCTAAACTTGCTTTATGGACTATGGCTCAGTTATATTCTGTTGGTTAATCAACATGCACCTAAACTGATATAACCAGGTTTGAAGATATTCTGTAATTGTTCTTTTTTTGTTATCTATATGGCTGTAAATGTTTTGGCATGTTTTCGAAGAGATTTTTATAACACTCAATTTCTAGTTCGTGCTTAGTTAGAAAAATAATTATGCTAAGCACTCGGAAGTGATGGTTAAACTGATTTGTAGCGTGCTAATTGAGCGGGTGTCATGTGATTTGTTTTCTTTACTAGAATTGCGTGCTCGAATATTGCTATTTTTCTATTAAGAGGAGAAATGATGTAGGATCTTGATTCAGATCCGTTTAAGTATTGGTAGGAGGCTGCAACTAAGCAAACAGCGAAATCACTTGAAACCAGTTTTAGGACAACTTTAAGTATTAAACACATTTTTACATGGATATTGGACCACAATGTAGAAACGCATGTTTTTGGCTGGTTTCATATCTGATGGTCAATGGAGTTCGACTCGGAAAATTTTCCACCGTTGATTATTTTAGTAGAGCTATTTTTTGAGTAAAATCAGAAGACTAATTATATGATTTTCAATTTCAAACTAGAACTGGCTTCTTTTGGTATGCACCATTCAAGGGTTGACATTATTTTTCTCATTCTTTTCCAGGTTTTCCCCAAGATAAAAGATTCTGTTCAGGTAATATCTGGGCTCCATATATATATATATATGGTCATGTGTTCTCATTACCATGCATCCACAGAAAATGTAAAACCTTTCTGCATATACTATTTTTCATGCAGAATGGTGTAATGATATTCATTAGTTCTTACTTTGAGTTTGTCCGACTCCGGAATTATTTGAAGTCACAAGCTGCTTCCGTCTGCTTGTTCGGAGAGTAAGAAAATATTGTTTCTTTTCATAATTCTGAACTTCCTTTGCATACATTTCTGAGTTTATTTATTTAATTTGATGGTTCCTATTCAAGTTCCCTGCGGCAGTTTCAGAGATTTTACTCTATTATACAGGTATATAAAACGAAACGATATATCTCATGTTCGGGGGCAGTTTTTCAGAGGGGAAAAGAAAATTATGCTTTATACCGAGAGAGCCCATTTCTACTACAGATACAAGGTAGTTCTCTTTTATATATTTATTCGATACCCAATTTGTTTTGTTATTTGGGGTACTCTGTTACTTCCGTGGACCATAAAAATTCTAATTTTTATACACTAGTAAACATTAAATAGTTTATGATACCAAATATTATTCGTTTAGTATAAACATATATTATTCTTCGTAACAAAGTATTACTTTCAGCTTTGAGAAGCGTCATCGGCTATCAGATTTGTCTCTGTAATCCTGTGAACCTATGGGCTAAATGTGAAACGAGATTTTCACGAAAAATACTAGTTTCTTGTCCGATGTGATCTTGTCTATATGGAACGTTATGCTCCGTGAACACCATGATCTAGGCATGTTTTCCTCTCGATTTGCATGGATCTGTCCGTTATGTTTTTATTTTTTCAGAGTTGAGGAATGCCAATATTTGAACTGAAAACATTGAAGTGTGATAAACTCAAACCAATGAATTAGATTGTAACATATAGTATGATGTTCTGGAGAACAACAAGAATTCGAAAATGGTAAAGATTCACTTCCTAGTTTTGGTTAATTCCTCAGTTGATTTACCGTTGTGAAATAAATTGGCAACTGACACTCATGCATTTGCTAATTTTAAATAATTGGAGTCTGACTTTGCTCTTCATTGAGGTTGTTGGCTAGGCTTCGGGTTTAAGCTGATTTTCGTGCATGGATATTTTCTTTTTATAACAGAGCATCTTATTAATGCCTGCATATCCGAACCTTGACCACAATCTTGCCAACGTGAAGCAGAAAGACGGTGTTTTGCAGTCTTATCCTATTCATCCTTTATTATTTTTTTCCTTACTTTTTTTTTTTCTTCTTTTAAATAGATTCGTGGCGTGAAGAACTTAATCATCTATTCCCTGCCCGAGAGAAAAGAATTTTACCCTGAGGTAACACATTTTTTCTTCTCACTTTATTTCTTTAACTTCTCTGTGAAAGTCATGTCCAACCCTTTTCACACATGAATGAACATTTCTTTGTTTTACTATATTTCCGTTTCGTTTACTCGTTCTGCAGATTGTTAACTTGCTGGAAGAGACGGAGAGCATGGATTGCAGAGTCCTATTTTCTCGTTTGGATCATCTTCGGGTATGCAAATCCATAAGTTTTAGGAAGATAAATTGATGGCAAATTTTCATAACTACCACTGTTTATGTCTCTGTTCAAAATATTGCACTTTTAGTCACTTACGACCGAAAAACGACTCAAGTAAACAAATATTATTATTACAGCCAAAAGTGTCGTTTTTGCAACGAGAAAGTGAAAGGGCGGTATCCTTGCAATGTTCCTTTCATCAGTTTTTGATATAATATATTTTGCAAATTCATGCTGGTACTTTAAATTAATTTATTTTTCCCGGTGTGCCATTGTTAGCTGGAGAGAATAGTTGGTTCTGCTGCTGCAAAACGGATGGTTGACTCAGAGAAATCCGTTTTTGTTTTCGCTTAGAAATTTATCGACATGAGTTATGTTAGTCGACAAGCGACATTTGAAAGCTCGAGAGGATAGTTTGCCCTACTGCAAAACGGATGGTCGACTCAGAGAAATGTATAAATTAATCGACATGAGTTACATCAGTCGACAAGTGACATTCGAGAGGTTTAACTAGATACAAGTGAAGAAGACGGAGTTAAGTTCTCTGTATCAGCATACGGATTATAGACAAAATTACAATCGACTTACTCAGGAAATTTGTTGTGTGTCTGGAGTTTTCAGGATTGTATGTCTTTTTATGTTTATTTATTATTTATTTGTTTTCTAACATTTTCTATCAAAATATGCACTAGTGTTTGATAAGTCCATATATTTATTTATAAATAAATAATAAAAAAGATAAAATAAAATAATATAAAATAAAATTATAGATTCTGAATGTGAAGTCAAAGCTGATCCAAGTCCAACTGCCTTTGTCCAAAGTTAATTGAGGTGCATTCAATTTTTTTTTTTTTTTTTNNTCTATCCCTTTTTCTTTCTTGAGTTTTCAAAAGATTCTATTCCCACCACAGTGAAACCAATCACAAACCCCTCCTATCTAAAAAATACAAAAATTAAAATAATATAGAGCATCAGGTCAAATATCAGTAGCAATGATTTCTGATCATCCTCTAAATTATCAAGTCAAAAAATATCAAAATAATACAGAGCATCAGGTCAAATATCAGTAGCAATGATTTCTGATCATCCTCTAAATTATCAGGTCAAAAAATATTAAAATAATACAGAGCATCAGGTCAAATATCAGGTCAAATAGTAAGTGTCATAAATTATATTCCTTTAAAGAAATATTAACAGTTGATGTATTTTTTAATATGAGTGTCAAATATCCCTAAATTACAAGTTTTAATGTTAATTTTCTGATAAATATTACAATTCTTTCCAAAATTTAAATATTTTATCTATCTCTTGGACTAAAATTCTCAATCCATTTTTAA